GGGAGGAGGGGGGGATGCGGAGCTTTTGGATGCGGAGCGCCGCAAAGGGAACCGACTCGTGACAGAGTCACTCGGAGCGAGCGACGAGTCAAACAGGTTCGCCCCTCCGGGCCTGGTCGACCATGGTCGATGGTCCCGTTGGGATCGAAATGGAATCTATGTCAAAAATAAAATGCAAAGCTTTATATATGATTGCAAGTATTATTGTTGTTATTGGAGTTATTTTTTCTGTTGCATTGATGACATAGGCTGAACGTAAATAGATGGGAGCAATGCAAAGAAGAATAGGACCTAATCATGTAGGATGGTAGGGTTTTCTTCAACCGTTTGCAGATGGTATAAAATAGATATAGAAAGAAACAGTTCTACCTCTGGAATCTTCTAATTAGTTGTTTTTGGGAGCACCATTTATAACATTGTATCTAGCTCTTTTGAATTGGTTGGTACTACCATTGGATTATGGTCTAATTCTAGCAGAACTAATAGGAGGAGGAATTTAGATAATGATAGCAATTTCGGAACTTGGTATTTATGGTATAATTTATTCTGGTTGGGCATCGAATTCTAAATATCCATTTCTAGGATCTTTGAGATCTACAGCACAAATGATTAGTTATTCTGTAAGTTTGTCTCTTATCATTCTTACTGTTATTTTTTCTTTGGGTACAATAGAACTATGTTCTATAATGGAAGGTCAAAGAGTGATAGGGTAGATAAATTTTTAGTTGCCTCTAGGATTTCTTTTCATCATTAGTGCTGTTGCTGAAACTAATCGTAGCCCTTTTGATTAGCCTGAAGCTGAATCTGAATAGGTAGCAGGATTTATGACAGAATATTCTGCAATACCTTTTGTATGTTTTTTTTAGGCAGAATATACAAATATTTAGGTAATTTCTACACTATTTTTTATTCTTTTCTTTGGTATTTCTATTGCTCTTCCTATGATTTTTATTATGATTTGGATTCGTGCCACTCTTCCTCGATTGCGTTTTGATCAATTGCTTCGTTTGGGTTGGTCTAATATATAGCCTTTTACAATTGCTTATATTCTATTTTAGCCACCTTTTCTTTATACAATGCAATTGAGTTAAGCTTCGCATCGTCATACCCTCCTCTCAATCTTATGGTTACCATAAATGCCAAAGGCATTGTAGGTTCAATTCAAAGAACCAAACCAAGTTCCTCGGAACGAACCCTAAGGGTCCGAGGCTACCAATCAATTCATAATGGGACCAAAGGTCACATTCGTTGTGACCAAATTTCTTGGGACTTGCGAAGCGCCGTCCCTCTGAAACGAATCGCAAAGCGTTGGAATCTAAGAGCAAAGCCAAACCATCAAAGCGAAGCCTTATGCCACAATTTAATCCTATATGGTGGATAAATACATAGTCTTGGTTGTTTGTTATAATAACCTTTGGACTTTGGTTCCATCAAACTATTAGTTTCCCTTCTATTCTTCGTACTAAACTAGCAAGAGCTGTAATGTTGTTTTACTTTTAAGTTTGGTGTTTTATATCCCAAAAAATCCATCTTTGGACTACCCCCAACCCAAAGGGCTATCATTTTAGGTTGAATCTTTAGGCTTACCTTACCCTCCCCTCCCCTGCATCCTTAAAAAGGATAGGCTACGCTCTAGATTCGTGGCCGAGTCACTCGGAGCGAGCGACGAGTCAAACAGGTTCGCCCCTCCGGGCCTGGTCAACAAGGAGACTTGCCGACCATTGGTCTAAAATCAGGAGAGGTTAGAGTCGACGGGGTCAACGGCCATTGGTTAAAGGGTGTCGCTCAATGGTTGAGCAGCAGACTGTAAATCTGTGCGATTCGCTATGTTGGTTCGAGTCCAACCACCCTCAAATCCTTTTCGTGGCCGAGTCACTCGGAGCGAGCGACGAGTCAAACAGGTTCTCCTGGCCGACTAATGAGAGACCTCTTGGTCTCGAATCAGAAGGCGAAGCCTTCTCGACTAATGCTTCGCATGCTGACCTCGAAGTCGAGTCAAACCCTGCGGGTCTCGAGTGAAGGGGGGGATGTCTTATGGCATTTTCCTTGAGCTCTCCAAGGGTCCCTCGGAAACGAACGACCTAGTCGAACAGGTTCGCCCCTCCGGGCCTGGTCGACAAGGAGGCTTGTCGACTACAAGGAATTCGCGATGGATAGTTTGATACACGCAGGGTCAAAGGACTCAAATCTGTTGGGTTAGGTTTCATATCTTATACAACCCATTTTGATTGGGTACTTAATGTGACCAAGTTGCTTGGACTTTGTCACTCAAAGATGTCACAAGGGCATCCTTCATAAAGGACACGACAGTGGCCTGTCGTTCAAGGCTTCGCTTTTGTCGTGCAGCTGCACCCATAGGTCTTTTGTGACCAGCCCAACGGGTTTTGAGTTGAAAAACGAAGGACATGACAGTGGCCTGTCGTATGAGGCTTGCCTCTTAAATGGCAAAGTCACGAGTCGAACAGGTTCGCCCCTCCGGGCCTGGTCGACAAGGAGGCTTGCCGACTAAGGTAGAACCATTGGGGTGATGAAAGGTTGAGCGGGAATGACCTTAAATGAGTCCTTCGGCCCCTTCGGGATTCGGCTGCCGACACCATCCTTATAACCAAGTTCCTTGGAACGAACCCTTTATTAGGGGAGTGGTGTGTAGGGGTGAATGTGAAAAATGGAGAGGCATGATGTCTTAGATTTGTTATGTTTATATATCTCTTTGTCTTATTGGATTGTTTTCTGGTCTAATTGTTGTTAGTGCTATTAATCCTGTTCATCGTGTTGCACTTTAGATAACAGTATATTAGGTAGGATCTTTTTAGTTTATGATAATGGATTATTATTTTCTAGGTTAGACTTATATAATTGTATATGTTGGAGCTATAGCAATATAGTTTTTGTTTGTTATTATGATGGTTGATCTTGGTCCTTCTTCCATTCCTTCTCCTTCTAGATCTACCAATAAATAGGGACGAGCTAGATTGTTTGAATAGCCATTTCTAGCCAGTCTATTGGGGCTTATAATTGTATAGGGATAGAGTCTAAGTTTTTAGTTTAAATTTGACTCGATTCCATAGGTTGAATTGTCTGGGATTTAGACTCCAACTGGTAAAGAATTTGTAACTTATTTTTATCCTTCTTGGGCATGTGATTATAAATATTTGACAGATATTAATACTTTGGCTTATGTTATTTATATTGCTTATCCTCTTGCTTTGTATTTGATTGGTATCATCTTGTGGGCTGTTATGATAGGTGTTATAGCAATATAGGTATAAGTTGCTAAAGGATATGACAGTAGTCTGTCGTAATTTAGGTTTTGTGACCAAGTTCCGAGGAACAAACAAGGGTTCTCAATATAACCCTTGGTCACATTGTCAACCTTAGCCAAAAGTGTGAAGCCTTAAGGCTTCGCGTTTTCACACTTTTGATTCGAACCGAAGGACTCCCTTCCTGGGCCCGAAGGGACTTAAACTGTATGCAATTTGAGGATACGTATAAATTTGATGGATAGGAGCTTTCTCAACCTAAGGGCTTAGGCGTTTCATCGACCTACATATAATTGTGAAGCCCCTATGATTTCTAGCCTTGTGGTACAAACCCGACTGGATCTGTTATACATTTCATCGTTCACCTCGTAGAACGAACAGTAAGAGAGGAGGGTTTCGCATTTGTAGAATGGACAACCACAAACCTATGGGACCGTACGACATAAAGGCATGGCAAATCATGACTTACCATATGCCGTGCGACCGAAGGACGTCTAAAGGACACGTAAGTGGCCTACCGTATACTGAACGACGCAAAGCGGCGTTTTAGAGGATCTTTGGTGTCTGACCGTAAATCGAAGAGGGTATTAGGACCCTTAACGAAAAGTTTTGTAAAATGAATGGATTTGGTATTAATCTTGCTATTGCCTTGAATTGTATGGCAGTTATAGCATTTATTTTTAATGGTGGTATACGTACATCTGGATAGATAATGATAGTAATATCTTAGGAATAGATACTATTGGCTGTAGGAATTATATAGGTAAATCTTTCTTTTCATTTGGATGATTAGATAGGTTCTACTCTTACTCTTTTTATTCTTCCACTTGCTGGAGCTGAATCTGCTATTGCATAGGCATAGTTGATTGCATATTATCCATAGAGAGGAAGTATAGGAATTGAATTAGGATCACGATCTATGATCCTTTGATGGAGTTAATCATACCTTCAGATGTAAAGCTCATCTGAACAAGGGTAGATGCAAAGCGCCATGCTTTTGGCAACTCTAAAATTAGGTGACCTCGTGGGCCGTTCAGTTTGATGCGTTGCGTTATAAGCTGCGCCCACATTATAGTACGACGTTAAACGTCGTTTGAAGATTCTATATGATGGCTTTGTTGACAACAAGTGTGATTCTAATAGTATTGGTAAGTGTACTATTTTAGGCAAATTATTTGATAGTATCTAGTAGTAGTAATAATATTCATACTGCTATTAATGCTGATTTGTCTGCTTATGAATGTGGATAGGAACCAATAGGAGATGCAAGAATGAAATTTGATATACTTCATTATATTGTAGCAATATAGTATTAGATATTTGATTTGGAAATTATTTTTTTGTTTCCTTTGGCTACTATTATGTTTAGTATGAATTTTCTTATAGGATTTTGGATAGTAACAATTTTTTAGATAATCCTAACTATAGGTTTTATATTTGAATGGAACATGGGTGCTTAGGAAATTTAGGATCCAGTAGACCATAATTAAAATTTGATTCCATATCAGTTGGATTCAAACTACATTTTAGGATGAACTTTATCCTTTGGATTTAAAGGACGTAATTTAATGGTAAAATGCTAGTTTTGGGAACTAGTTTTGGTGGTTCGATTCCGCCCGTCCCCATCCTGTCAAGGTACCATGAGATGTGAAACCTCTATGTAGCGTTTAATGTCGACCCGAAAGGGTTTTTGGCGAGGCGCTACAAATAAGGCGAAGCACCGACCATAGGTCTCGCATGAAACGTAACCCGCAGGGCTTTAGAGATCAAGTTGACTCTAAAATTAGGTATAGAATCTAACACCCAGTCTTTATAGATAATCTACAGGTGATGAAACTTTAGGGGTTTGAACACTTGTAAATGAGGTAAAGATTCTAATTACAAAGACCCCCCACACCTTTTTCGCCAAGTTAGGACACGACCTATCGTATTAGGATTGGGAGGATTTGTAAGTCCGTCTAATGATCGGACAGAGTAAAGGATAATGATACTAGGATAGGGAACATAGGGATCTATATATCTAAATTATTAGATCTAGCCAAGTTATCAACCAAGTTAGAAAACTCGAAATAGAAATGCAAATCGTTAGAATTATTTTAGTGCTTCTTCTTATATAAGTAGAATAACAATATAGAGTTAGATAGTATTTATAATATGTCAATAGGATTAGCTAATAAGTTAGATTAATGGTTTTACAATGCCTTTGGGCAATTCTACTTCTATTTAGCAGCTTTGCTATTTTGATGGTCTACTAACAATAGGGGATAGTACTATAATTATAATAGAGCTATTTGTTTCTTTTTATACATAGGGAGTATAGTTCTTGAGTCATGAAATTACAGGTCTACGTCTTCTACAAGGAAATTCCGGAGGTTTGAAAGGAGCTCCAGGATAGGGTGCATAGTGTGGAAGACCGGATATATCTTATCTAATATAGATGACAAATTAGATAGGATTGATATTTCTTTTGGAAAGTACTGATTGGTTGATTACTATTATTGCATGGGAATTGTTTAGTATGACTCTTTATTTGTAGGTTAGTCAAGCTGGACAAGGTCAATCTGAAAAAGCATAGAGTGCATCGATAAGATATTTTCTATAGAGTGCATAGACAACTAGTTTTTAGCTATAGAGTATAACATGTCTTTATGGATAGACAGGAAGTACACATTATGATAATATTATGATGATTCTAAATACTATGCGTTATAATGATTTTGCTGGAGGTGTAGAATCCCATCCAACATGGGCAAATGGCTATATTACATAGGAAAATTAGGCATAGTTGTAGATGATGATCACATTTGTATTTAAACTTGGTGCTGCACCTCTACATAATTGGGCACCAGATTTGTATGATAATCTTCCTACATTTATAACACTATGGATGACAACAATACCAAAAATAGCAATATAGTGTTTTATGTATAGAATTTATAATCTAATTCAACCTATGGAATTTTTCTTTCTTTTTATTGGTTCTCTTTCTCTTCTTATTGGTTCTATAGGTTTGGGTAGTCAATGGAAAATTAAAAGATTTTTGGCTTATTCTAGTATCTCTAATGTCGGCTTTCTATTGTTGGCCTAGATAAGTGAAAGTAGTGCACCATTTCCTAAAGGTACAGAATCGGTAACATTTAGTCTATATTTGATTGTTTATATAATTTCTGTATTGGGTATATTTGCAATTATTTTGACTGTTAGTAATTCTTATGGATTCGAAATTAATAGACTCTCTGATCTTAGTGGTCTTTATAGACAAAATCCTGCTCTTGGAATTGCCTTTTCGATTTCTTTCTTTAGTCTTATGGGTCTTCCTCCACTAATTGGATTTTATACCAAATAGCTTGTATTTTATAGTTTGTTGGAATCTTTTAATACTTAGGGTTCTCTAATTGTTATTATTGCTATTATTGCTTCTTCTGTGAGTGCTGCAAATTATTTGAGTGTAATTAAAATTATTCATTTTGATTTCCCTCCTTATGGTCATCATTCTCCATTTAAATCCATTCAATCTACTCAAACTCTTCGTGTTTGTACAAAAAATTCTTCTGGAATTATTATTAGTTCTATCGTTGGATGTTTGGTTCTGGCTCTTTGTCTTATTCCATTACATAGCCTAACACCCTACATACTCACCCGTGGGTTATTAGCTTGCCCCAATCCATGATGTCCCGTACATCATGACTTAATTTAAGGTTGACCGTAAGGCTTAAATGTCTAATCCTTGTTACGAGGAACAAGTCTAAGGAATTTTGTCACAAAGGCGAAGCACCGTCTATTTTTAAAACTCAAAAAATTTAAAATTATATAAGGGACCCTCAAATGAGACTGATAATCTGAGGATTTAAGTGCCTAAAGAATATCTAGAGTAAGTTAATCACGAAGATTTCGTGAAGTTTAAACTTCACACTTCAAATCGGTAAGGTTTTGCTTTTAAGGCTTCGTTCTATGGGATGAAGTTTATAAACCTATCGGCTTGTAAAAAATCAACCTTAAGGTTACGTAATAATACATATGATGACTTGGATTAATAGATGGTTGTTGAGTACAAATGCAAAAGACATAGGTACTTAGTATATAATATTTGGTGGACTAGCTGGTCTTGTAGGTAGTGCACTATCTTTTCTAATTAGATTGGAACTATCTGGAGGAGGTAAAGTTTACTAGATGGGAGCTCATGATCAATATAATGTAATTATAACTGCTCATGGGATTGTAATGATCTTTTTCATGGTCATGCCTGCTATGATGGGTGGATTTGCTAATTGGTAGCTACCGGTAATGATAGGAAGCCCAGATATGGCATTTCCAAGATAGAATAATATAAGTTTTTGGCTTCTGCCACCTTCTTTCTAGCTTCTAACCGCTGGTCTTTTTGCTGGTGGAGCTGGGACAGGATGGACAGTGTATCCTCCACTATCTGATACACCATATCATTAGGGAGCAGCAGTGGATCTTTCGATTTAGAGTTTGCATGTTGCCGGTATTTCTAGTTAGATGGGTTCTATTAATATTATTACTACTGTTCTTAACATGCGTGCACCAGGGATGACAATGTCTTCTGTACCATTGTTCGTATGGTCCGTATTTATTACTGCTTGGCTTCTTGTCTTGTCTCTACCTGTACTAGCAGGAGCAATAACAATGTAGTAGACAGATAGAAATCTAAATACTTCCTTTTATGATCCTAATGGTGGTGGAGATCCAGTTTTGTACCAACACTAGTTCTGGTTCTTTGGTCAAGGATGGCCCGTAGCATTTGTGAAATTGCTAATGAAGTTGACTGTAAGCTGGAAAGATTAGATGTATTGTCATCTATTTCATTTTACTAGAGATATAAGTGATCTTATTGACCCCTTTCTAGTGACAATAAATGAAGGTATCTCCTATTCTTCTTACCCCGAGGGCTCTTAGATGATAGTAGGTATATACAATCAGCAGGTAACCAAAGTGAGAAGAAGAGATTCTTCTGCACAAGTAGGAACCCCAGAGATCATACGTCAACTAACTACAAAACCCGATTCTAGTTTTAATCAATGGCTTGCCGGATAGATAGATGGCGATGGATCGCTATAGGTAAGTAAAAAGGGTTATACTAGTTGTGAAATTACTACAGAATAGAGTGATGAACGTATGTTTAATCATGTAAAAAATTTTATGGGTGGTTCTTTTAAATTGCGTTCTGGCTCTAATTCTATAAGATGGCGACTACATAATAAGTTGGGAATGAAAAGATAGATTAATGCAATAAATGGGGAGGTTCGTTTTATAAATAGACTTGAACAATTGAATAAAGTTTGTAATGTTTTGGAAATAACTCCTCTTATTCCTCATCCTCTTTCTTAGGACAATCATTGGTTCGCTGGAGTTTTTGATGCTGATGGTACAATAGGGTTTAGCATGAAAAATGGAATACCTCAATAGACTATAAGTGTCACAAATAAAACTAAAGAGAATCTTGAAGGTTTCATGAAATTTTTTGGTGGTAATATTTATTTTGATAAAGGATATAATGGATATAAATGGTCTATTCAAAGTAGATCTGATGTATTGTATTTTCTAGAATATGTCAAAACCCATCCTATTTATAGTCATAAACTAGCCCGTTTTTTTTAGGTTCCTAAATATTATGATTATGTTGATCTTCGTTATTATAAAATGGATTCCTCTACTATGGGAGGTAAAGCATGGTCTAATTTTGTAGCCAAATGGAAAAATTGGGATTAGGACGCTTAAGACCCTATGGGATGGTTTTTAGTTAAAGAGATGATCCATTACGCATCCCGAAGTATATATATAGATTTAGCCAGCATTTGGAATAATTTCTCATATTATTCCAAGATTCGTTATTAAACCAGTATTTGGTTTTATTGGTATGATTTATGCAATGCTTTCTATTGCATTGTTGGGTTTCATTGTTTGGAGTCATCATATGTTCACTGTAGGATTGGATGTTGATACTAGAGCTTATTTTACAGCTGCAACAATGATAATTGCATAGCCAACAGGGATAAAAGTATTTTCTTGGTAGGCTACTATTTATGGTGGTAAACCACATTATTATACTCCATTTGTTTTGGCACTTGTATTTATAGTACTATTTACATTGGGAGGTTTTACAGGTATTATTCTGTCTAATGCTGCTCTTGACCTTGCTCTACATGATACCTACTATGTCGTAGCACATTTTCATTACGTACTAAGTTAGGGTGCAGTAGTAAGTTAGTTTGCAGGTTTTTATTATTGGATAGGAAAAATTTCTGGATATCAATATTCCGAAAAATGGGGTTTGATTCATACCTTTGTATTTACTATTGCTGTTAATTTGGTCTTCTTGCCTATGCATTTCTTGGGTTTGAGTGGTATGCCTAGACGTATTCCAGATTATCCAGATGGATATATAGGATGGAACAGTTTTATAACTTAGGGTTCTTTCCTAACCTTCCTTTCTCTTATTATCTTCTTGTGGATGGTTGCTGTCACTGTATTTAATCCACGTCATAATGAAGTAAATAACCGTTTGATAGGTACATGGGTAAGTTAGAGTGAAGCTTAATGAAAATGGCGAAGATGGCGAAGCCATCAAGTCTAAAGCTTTACATTTAGTGGAGCTTTATAACTT